TCCAGTTTGGATCCCTTTGATTTCCTCCAGTTCTCTTGGTGCTCTAGCTAAGACTTCACCTACTATACTGATTAATTATGGAGAGAGTGAAAAACCTTGCCTTGTTCCTAATTTTAGTGGAATTGCTTTGAGTCCCCCCCCCCCCATTTAAGTTAATGCTGGCTATGGAATTGATTATCAGAGTGTTGGCTTTATCATGTTGAGGTATGTCTCTTATATTCCTAATCACTCCAGGACTTCAATTATGAAGAGGTGCTACAATTTGTCAAATGCCTATTCTGCATCTAATGAGATGATTATTTGGTTGTTGCCTTTCAATTTGTTTATATGGTGGATTGCATTTATAAATTTACATAGGATAAAAAAAATCCCTGCACTCTGAGATGAAGCCTACTTGTTCATGGTGGATGATCTTTTGGATGTATTATTTGATTCAGTTTGCATGCATTTTGTTGAGAATTTTTTCATCAATGTTCATGAGGTAAATTTGCCTGTGATTCTCATTATTTGTAGTGTTTATGTGGTTTAGGTATCAGGATAACTGTGGCCTCTTAAAAAATTGGGCAGTGCTCTTTATGTTTCTATTTTGTGGGACAATTTGAGGAGTATTGTCTTCAACTCTTTGTGAAAAGCCTTGTAGAATTCTATGCTAAAACCATCTCACCCTGGTTATTTTCCTTTTCTTTTCTTTTATTAGTAGACATTTAATTACTGCTTCTATTTTACTTGGGATTACAGGTCTGCTTAAATTGTTTATCTAATATTGATTAAACTTTAGTAGGTGGAATATATAAAAAATATTCATTTCCTTTTTATGACTATATATGTTTTTAAACAACTTTAAACTTTGTAAACATAACTGTAAGATAATGAAAAGTTAAATACAGTTCATCACATGTAAAATGGATTATTGTATAATTAGCAATATCAACCCTAAATCCCCACTTCCACAGTGGAAATAGGATACAGCATTATTAACCTAATGAATTAAGTAAAAAACATAACATTAAATTGAATCAAGCTTTTCAAATAATTCAATACAGTCCTAGCTAAGCTGAGGTTTGGATTCAATATAATAATATGGATATTTAGCATTATAGTTACTTCTAATCAACTTCCAAAACCTAAGGCAAGTCTCCTTAATTCTGGGAAAGAATGTATCTTAAAGTAACCATTACATTTTTCTCAACAGTTCTGCATCCTATGCAAGTCCAGTAGAGTGTGATGGGTCAGGCAAGCATCAGTCTGTGCAGTTCATTGTCTTTCTTGTACTATTTTCAAGCTTTAAAAAATATGTTAAAAAATACCTCCATCTTCAATTTAACTGATAAAACTCCAGCATTAGAGATGCTAGTCAACACTTCCTGCCTCTTCTTGCTGATGTCCCTCCTGATCTTAAGCAGAGAATGACATTGTGATGGGCATTCCTTTCAGGAATAAACAGTTCAAACAAGGAATAGAGTTGGTAACTAGAGAATATTGTAAAATGACAACTGCCAAGGTTTGCAAATGAGTGAGTGAAAATATAAGTAATCATTGGTGGGGGAAGAAGACAAAAAAAATCATAAACTAAATCCAACATTAAAACAATTCAGAAACTAAATCCAACATTAAAACAGTGTTGTTTGAACATGTGTTCTTGGGTGGGTTGAATAGCGGTTTCTAAGCTTGCAGTAGTTACTTGCACCCTATAGATGGCACTGGGCAGGACTCCCCAGGTGAGGACTATATTGAAGAGAGAGGGCTTCCTCCATGTCAGGCAGCTCAGTATCTGTTTTAAATCTTTTCAACCCATCTTGTTTGAGGTATATAGAAACATCAATGGAAAAGTGCAGGGGTGCCATAGCAACCAGGTGGATGTTGTTACAGTAAGTGACTATGCAGGATTTCCCACACCATCCTCTTCCTAAAGATGGGCATGTGTTGCTGAGAAAAGGTAAGTGGTTGGTCTCTAGAAATGTAATCTGCATATTGACAAGTAAAAATTCCACAGTCACTCCCATTCAGTTGTTGAGGAATCTCCTTTGATGTCATACTGTATCTTTTCCACTCCAAAGGGTCCAGCTCAATGTTCCTTCAAGTTTTGCTCTCATTTTGTAAATATTCAAATACGATCTTACAAATACTCTGCCCTGTCTGTCCCATTGAATCGAGGTATATGATACTCTGTTTTCTTAGGTCGATTACTATTAGGCTCCAATGTACCTTCTGGTGGATAGGTATGAGAATAATTTCTTTTTCAAACAGTTTTATTCCCTGAGTCCATCGTTTAACAGAACAGTAGCCACCATGCTTTAGTTTAGGATAAAAGAAAGTGCTGAACACATGAAGAGCTGGGTACCCTTTTTTGTTATTTCTCTCAACCAGAAGATTCATGTAAAAATTGATAACCTCATCATTGAGACACTCACCATTCTCTAGTGTGTGGATATCTCCTCGAGTAATATGCAATTTGAATGCACTAGTTAAGATTTCTTCCTGGGGTCCTGGACCTAGTGCATTTTTTATTTCCTTTTCCATGTCCTCTGTAACAATAAAGACTTCATCCATTCTTCTGACCTTTTCTTGGTCTACAGCAGGCTTTTTCTCTGCCATAACTACTGGCTTCTTGTTGGGGAGTGACCTACTGCTGCCACTATGCAGGAAGACTTGAGCCTCTGCTCTTAGCAAGTCAGACTCCAAGTAGTGTCCCCTTCTTCCTTCAAGGTTTATGGCATCTTTCTCCTGTGTATCAGAAGAGTTCTCTGTACACATCCTCACTTTTTTGTCTGGTGAGACACATTCCTTTGTGGCAACAACAGTAGATTGTTTAGGATCACACTGAGTTGTTCTGAATCCATGACTGTGCCCTTCCACACAACCTTTGATCTTCAAAGTATCCACCAGGGTTGTGAGAGCTCTGTGGGTCAGATTTCATATTATCATCAGATGAAAGATGCTGCAGTAACCTTTGGCGCTTGTGCCTTTGGTGGTTTTCGGCATATTCCTCCATGAGGCAAGAGGGCCTCTTGTGACCCTTGCCACCATCCCTAGACTTTCTCACAGTTACAGCCTGCTCCTGTGGACCTTTGGCCCACTCTAGGGGCTTTAGTTGTCTTAGACTTTCTTGATGGGGTTCCCACAGCTCATCCTTGCATTGCTGTTGACTTTGAAGCTCTAGGTCTTGCTGTTCCTGAAGTATCCTCTTCCAAGTTTTGCTGTGCTCTTCAAACTCCAAGTCTGTTGCACCCTCATCCTGGCATTTCAGTTTTTTTACCTTGTCCCAAAGCTTCAAACTCGATCTCTGTCCCACCTTCATCCTGGTATTTTCATTTCTGACCTTGCCCTGAAGTTTCACGCTTTATTGCCATCTCACACTGTTTAGGTTGCCACATGGACTCGCTTCTGAATTGGCCTTTGCTGGGTGCCAGCTCCCCAGTATGGTAAAGCTTTCCTATTTCCAAATGAATGCAACTGTCTGCCTGACTCTGGCTGGTTATTCTTGGGCTACTCACCTTGATATCTGAAGAATTACTTATTCCAGTAATGGTATAATCCACAAGTTGGTTCAAGGTCAGAAACCTATCAGACCACAGGATGAAGAGCTCAGAATAGCTTTTCTTTATAAACAAGAGTTAACTTTGGATGTCAGGGTAAGACAATAAGAAGCCAATTGAGCTAGCAATGGGAACTGATTGGTAAATAATCATGTCTTGGCAGTTCACTGGGGTCCACTGTGGGAAACCCCATGGAATTCTAGGACTCCTTCCTCAGAAGGTCCCCGCAAAGGCTCAGTAACCAGCTAAAGACCCAGAACTTCGAAAATGGACAGATTGTGCTAGCCACCATAAGACACCAGGCCTTAACCATGTTGCTAACACATTGGAGGCAAGCCTCACAAGTGATGCCTGACTCCGAGGCTGCCCTACCCACAACCTTCAAGGTTCCATAGCTGATTGTGATGTGACCTAAAAGAAGTAAATCAATGTTCTTTGGAGGGTGGCAGGTCTGCTCACCCCCAAATGGGTCCAGGAGTTGGATAAAAAGGGTTAGAGTGTTGCAAACTAATCATACACATCTCAGTTCCCTTCTGAAGAGCACAGGGTTACATAGATCATTTCAGTATAATCTAGCTTGCCCTGATTAGTACATTTGTATGGTGATATTTTATTTGTACTGAAATGTGATTTTAATTTTATGTTAATAAATAAAGTTGTCCTGGGGTCAGAGCTATTAGAGCCATAGCAAGAGCGTGATGGTTAGAAGAGCTAGGTAGATTTCTGTGTGTTCAGGGATATAGCCAGTATTGGAGACATACGCCTTTAAGACCTGGAGGGCGGTACTTACAGG